ACTGCGACACTGCAAAATTCGAAATATAATCCCTTTTGATAAACAGCAAAAATTAGCATGGAATTCGACTTGATAGGTGGATTCCCTCATCTAAATGGGCTTCCCCATAAAGTAGTACGTTACTGGTACAAATGTGGGAATATGTCTTATTAGCAGCAGCTCCTTTTGCTGGAAATGTTGCATATTCTAAATTCAATTCTTTTTGATAAGCCACAAAATTAGGGGGAATTCAAATTGATGGGTTACTCGAAGAATCGTTAAGTATGCCTCAATGCAGGGCCTGGCGTTGGTTGGATGTGCCGGAGACAACCATGCTACAGTGTCCAAATAATGTCGGCGTACAGCAGCCGCTTGTAACTTTATTCACGGGAGAAATCTGTGGCCCGTCACAGCAACATTTCATTCAACTTCGGTGTGAGGGGCCCAAAAACAGCTGTTACCAAATACAGCTAATGCCTTGATGTGGAAATTGGAAAAGTATATTTGAATATCTGTGTTTATTGTCTAAAAGTTAATAAACAAATCGAGTAGTCTACAAATCTAGAAGCAGCTGCTGTATGCGAATACATTATTCATACACTGTATGCTCGTTTTGTGGGGACGAGTGTCAGCATATTTTGAGCCGGCTGTCGAATTAGCCAAAAGGCGGCTTTCGGCCGGATTCTATGGTTGACAACAACAACCACGAGCCATATTAAGAGAGCTGTGCGACATTGAGCAATTATAAGCCAACGACAAGCAAAAACAACACCACGAAACGACAACAACAGGAGCACTAATGCCATGACACAAATTCCTAATCAATCTTCACGACTTATTCATGCACATAAACCTGAGCGACAAACAAGCGAACTGGAGGACAGAACCCAAAGCTCCCTTCTGGGAGTGGAGGGTGCTGTGCGCCGGGTGGAGAGTGGAGGGCGGGGGGTGGAGGGCGGTGCCTACTTCATACTCGTATAGCTCTGTTCTGGATCTGCGTGTGTGGCTGTTTGAGTTTTGCAATTACAACTTAAGCACACAATCATTATCATAATCCTTAATCGATATTATGGCTTACGACTGCAGGGAAGAGCAGAGAGAGCAGCCAGACACACATATGTGTATGCATGAACGTATATGTATACGAGTACGTGGCATACAACTGAAGGATGGCTCCATGCGCGTCTGTGTGTGTGTGTGCGTGTGTGTGTGCTCTGCTTTTAACCCACTTCCGTTGTCTGGCCTGTTGGTGTTCCTTCGTCTGGCTTTTGGTCTCTCACTTTGGCTTCTGCGTTGTCCGCATTTTTCTTGAAGCCAAAGCCAAAGCCGGAGTGAGATGAGGGAAGCAAAGGCAAGATAATAATCCTTGTAAATGGATGAACCAGAAAGCTGGCTGGGAACACCCAACGGTTTCGTTAATAGTTAAATTGCTGTTAACAAATTTAATGTCCTTTAAATTTATTAACAAGCAGCTGCCGTGGCTACTCGTTCGTTCGCTCGGTGTTCACGCTTCCCGGACCCCATTGTATGGAGGCGACCGCGGGATTAAATGATAAAAAAGTGTTGATCATCCCAGGGACGAAAGGACCACCTGCTTAAAGTGGCCGCCGCCGTTCCGGTGTCGACATATCTACCAGGAGGACGTCAGGGATGCCTTACAAAGCGTTTAATGACGGTGGAAAATTTGATTTTCTTCCCAGCTTTCCCTGTGACTGCTGATGATGGCCTGGCCACCACGGGCTGCGCTGCACAATGGTGCGTATGATTGTTATTGGAGCAAGGGGCGGGGCGGGACGGGACGGGTCTGGGCGAGGGAGGTCCTGGATGTTTGCGTTCTTGACGATGTCGTGAACGTGTTAAGTGGTTATTGGTTTAGCGCGATGGTTCCCTAAAGCATGCGATATGCGATGGCCACCGGAGCAGGGCCCGGGCCCGAGCCCGAGCCCGAGCCCGAGCCCCAGTGATATTTGCATTAAAATTTGTTTATACTGCATATGAGGGCACTTGAAATGATCGGATGAATAAGTAAGTAGCACATTAAAGATGGGATATTCTTTAAGTCACAAGAAGATTAAAGAAAAGGGCATCTTTTCTGCACACTTTGTAATCTGAAGACCCCTCCCGATGCATACACTCTGCCGAAGAGTATGACTTTTCAAGAACCACAAGAAGCGATAAAGAGTTTCGATTGCTTGGAAACTAAGAGACCCTCTGCGAGGGCATTAAAACAGAAACTAGAGGAGTGGAAACTGGGTTAGAAGCTGTCCCTTCCAGTCGATGGTGAATACTGATAGACGCGAATGCCAAGCGGGAACACATAAACCGCCAATAGATGGCACTTGCTTTCGAAAAACGATTTACGACACCATGGCGACGCATAATTTGATACATGTGACGGGCCCAGCGAAGGGAGGTGTGTGCTTGGGGAGTGTGGTCGATGTCTGCCCCAATGACGCATCATTTATTACTTGGCACTCAACAAAAATTGTAAAACAGGAAACGGAAGCAGGGCACACAACAGACACGACAGACAAACGGCAGCCACTTTGAACGCGAATTAAAGTAATAAATTAGTTTGGGCGTGTGTCCTCGACATGACTCCGCACCACCGCACTGCCACCAGCCGTAGCAACATGCTCCTTTAGAGCCTCACTGCCGCATTGCCTCAGTGGCTCTGGATCTGCCTCTAGATCTGCCCACTCACATGCCTCGTATGCGCCTCGCTTTGTGCCTTCTCATTTGATTTGAAAGCAACCACCCACAAAGCCACAAAGGCATACCAGAGAGGCAGAAATTTCCCTGTTTCCAGCAGGCTGCTTCTGCTCTCGGCTTTCCTTCCTTCTGCTTCTACGAGTAGATGTAGATGCCTTGCCTCTGATTCTGCCTCTGCCTCTGTCTCTGCCTCTGTCTGTTGTGGCTTTTTCCACTAAATTGCTTTGCATTTTTAGCCCCCAACATATTTTTAGGCGTGCAACATTTTTCATAATGCCTTGACATTGGTTGGGATTGCTCCGGGGTGTGGGTATGTCGGTCTGTGGGTATGTGGGTATGTTGGTATGTGGCCATCCCATAGCAAAGGAAAAGCCAAAGATAAACTGTCGTTGATATCTAAACTCAAACTTCTCGAACATTGGAACCCCCACACATTTCACAAGATAATCTTCTCCGTTTTTATGGCGCTTTCTTTTATGATATTTATATGCGCGATATTTATCTCAATCGTCGTTCTTTTCTCTGGCATAATTTTTGCGGCCTGACAGTTAATATATTGAAAAGGTTTTACAAATATGATCAAATACTAGCAAATAAAGGAAAATGGCTGCGTTTTATTGTATTTATTGGATTGTATATGCTACATGGATATTTAAAACTTACCCAATAATCTTGTTACACACGTGTATCTCTTAAGGTATCGTTTTGATTATCTGAAATGAAAAATAAATATATTATGCATTAATTTACTTCGTCGAAACAGGTCCAAGGAATTTCCCACCACTTAACGCAACACCAAAGACTCTGGCTCTGGCTCTGACTCTGGCTGTGGCACAGCATGGGTCCTGTTCTGCACTTCAGCTCTGCCAATTTCTCTTTATTAAAATTTGCATTTTCACCTGCATAATTACTGAAAATCCAACAACAGCATGAAGTGAAGGTGGAGGTAGAGGTAGAGGTAAAGGTAAAGGTAGAGTCTATGAAAAAAGCGAAATAATATGCTTACTTCCACGTTGCTAAACATAATGTCTGCCTTCTTTATTTCCACCTTTTCCGCTCTCGCTTCTGCGGAGTACAACTAAATATTACGCTTATTTTGACGTCAAAAAGCTTGTTGAGAAATTAAAAAAGCGGCAAATTCTGTGAAAAAGCGGAAAACTAAAGCGAAATGCAAATAAAACAGCAGAAAGAAGCAGGAGCCACGGGCCAGGGGACAGGAGACAGGAGCAGAGGGCAGAGGGTAGAGAGACAGAGAGGGAGAAAAGGAAATCTCCAAAGCCGCAGCCAAGATGGCGACGGCAGCTAGGAGAAGAATATTTTCCAGTGGCTTTTGTTGCATTTTTCTAACATGTTTTTTGTTGGCGTCTTTGTTTTTTGTTCAGTGTTTTTTAATTTACTATGTTGTATTTTTAATAGCATGGACAGCTTTGCTTTTCTACCCACACATTTTCATATTTTCCTCCACGCATAAGAATTTCCTCCGACCGTCTCTAAAAAGGTGGAAAATGGCGGTCGACCGACGAAAAATAAAAATAACAACTCAATCGTCTACAGATGCAGCGGTATGAGGAGTTATAAAGAGTCGGCAGCAAAGCACTTTTTGGTCCGTTGCGGTGGCGTATACGTTATACACAATACGTATACGTAATATTTTTGTCTGCTGTCTCTCTGCTTTCTCTGCGGCCTTTGCATTCATAACGCGGTCCGCGAGTTGCTAAAAAATCTTAATGAATTTGCATGAATGAATATTTGAAAAGCTGCTGCAGGCCCCAACAAAAAAATATTTGCATTCCCCGGACTCCGGACCGCGGACCCCGGACCCTGGATCCGAAAAATAACAAGAAAGAAAAGGCTAAATTCGGCGGGGCCGATAAAAAATAATAAATAAAAAACGAAGCGAACAGGCAAAAAACAGATTTCCAGTGGCACAAAAATACGAGCATACAAAAGCATGCGAAAATTTATGAGCGCTAATATTATCAGCAGATTAGAAAGTAACTGGAAATTATAACCCAGTTGAATTTTTTAGCCCTGTTCAACGGCGGAGGACGCGGATGAGGACGAGGACGAGCAGGCATTTGCATTTGCATTTGGCATCCTCCATGTCGGGGCCATTGCATGCTTACTATCAATGGGATTTGCAGAGTACGAGTACGATTTTTGGAGTACAGTACGATGTGTACGATGTGTGTTTAAATTGCCCCAAATTGCATTTTAATGCTAATTGTGCGAGATTTATGGTTTCATGGTTTGGGGCGTACTCTCATTTCTATTTCTATTTGCTGCTGCACATGTGGGGCAATTAATATTCATTGCATGTCCAGTCGCTCAATGGTCATTAGCTGCGTGTTGTAGAAACTACTTAAAACTAGAGAAAAATTAACTTCGACTCGGCTGTGGCTTTATATTTTATTGTATTTAGTGGTGCTACGCGTAAGAAATTAATATTGGCCAACTCCTCCCATCCTGCTCGTCATCAGCGAAGCCCTTTATCTTTGATGCTTACAGTGGTGCTTTCCATCATTTTGTGAATGGCTAGATCAACCTCCTGCAAGCTCGCCGCTTCGACTAGAGCGAATCCTTCAAGAGGGGGACGACTGGTGGTCGTCGGTAGAGTCGGAACCGTGGTCAGAGTTGACATTATTTCTGCCTTAACAGGAGCCACGGGCGTAGTTGATATCACTTCCGTCTTGGGAGTCTCCAGGAGTTTCCAATTTGTTTCGTTTCCTGGGTTGATTACATCAGAATTCTGAGTGACCGTTTCATTGCCGCGGCTGGAACGGCGAGTCTTTTGAGTTTTCGTGGGGGTTTTTGTGTCGGTCTTGTTGGCATTGATCTTGTTTTGGTGATTCTGGGCCTTACCGTGGGTCTTGGAATGGCTCTTGGGGTGGGGCTTGGCATGGGGCTTGGGATGAGTCTTCGGTTGGGTCTTCGAGTGGGGCTTGTGGTGTGCTTTGGCATGAGTCTCGGTCTTGGCATTGGTCTTTGGCTCTGTCTTGGCATGGGTCTTGGGGTGACTCTCGGTGTCCGTCTTCGAATGGGCTTTGGTGTCCGTCTTAGAGTTAGACTTGGTGTCCGTTTTAGACTGTTTTTTGGGTTGGGTGTTCGCCTCGGTTTTGCTGTCTGCCTTGCCCTTGGCCTTGGTTGCGTCTGTCTTACCGATGGGCACCTGATCGGTCTTGCTCTCGGGCTGTTTGGTGGTGGCCTTAGCGCCCGGTGTGGGTTTTGTGTCGATCATAGTAGGGGTATTGGTGGCTGTCTTGATTTCCCCTTGGGTAGTGATCAAACTCTCTGCCCTAGCGGTTGGTGTTGTGTCGGCCTTTGTGGAGTCCTTGGTGTCGGGCAGGGTAGTCTTGATGTCAGTGGGTGTTGTGGGTTTTGAGTCGATCGTAGTTGGGGCATTTGTAACAGTATTGGATTCAATGTTCAGCGTTGTCTTATACTCTTGCCTGGGGTTAGGGCTTGTGTCGGTCTTTGTGGTGGCCTTGGTTTCGGTCTTAGAAACTTTGGTTTTAGGCTTGGCGGTGGGCTTCGAGTCGGTCTTGGTGGTGACCTTTGTGTTTGATTTGGTTCCGGGGGGGAGTTTTGTGTCTGTCTTTGTGGGCGTTTTCGAGGTGGCCTTCACTTCACTCTTTGTCGTTGTCTTATATTCCTGCTTGGAGTTAGGTTTTGTTTGAACCTTTGTGGGAGCTTTGGAGTCGGGCTGAGGGCTCTTCATTTGAGGCTTTGCGGTGATCTTTGTGCTGACTTTCGTATGGGGTTTGGAGCTGGGAGCGGGTGGTTTTGTGTCGGTCTTTGCGGGGGCCTTGGTGTCGGGCTTGGAGCCCTTGGTGTCAGGCTTTGGGTGTTGCAATTTGGTGCCTGGCTTTGCATCGATCTTGGTGGTAACCTTGGTGTTTGGCTTGGTTTTGGGAATCTGTTTTGTGTCAGTCTTTGTGGGGGTCTTTGATGTGCCCTTTAGTTCATTCATTGTCGTCGTCTTATACCCCTGTTTGGAGCTAGTCTTCCCTTCGGCCTTTGAGGGGGCCTTGGAGTCGGACTTGATGTGAGGCTTGGTGGTGGGTTTCCCGACCTTCTTAGTGGTGTCCTTGGAGCTTTCTTTAGCGCTTGGTGTGGGTTTCCTATCGGTCTTAGTAGTGGGCTTGGAGGTGGCCTTGAGTTCTTTTGTGTTTGTTGTCTTAGAATCGATACTTTTGTCCGGCTTGCTGGGGATCTTTTTGTCGATCTTGTTAGGGGTTTTGTTGTCGGAATTCGGAATTGTGGGGGTGGAGGCGGACTTGGCGGCACTGAGTGTGGTCATCTTGCGTCTCTTGGATCCTGCCACCGCTGCCGTTGTTGCTCTCGTGGTTGACAAGTGGCGGAAAAAAAAGTTCGCATGCGAAAGCGTGGTCGGTGGCTCGGACTTGACAGCAGCTTTGTTTGAATTGGCCGTCAGCGAGACTTCGTTATTGGAAATCGGCTTCTTTTGGAGCTCTTCGGTGTTGGCTCTCGCCAGGACCATGGCGACGAGAGTAAAGTTAACAAATACTATGATTATGAAACGCATTCTGAATGCGTTGCGATTGTACGTTGCTTGATGCATTGAAGAGAACTGATCATCAACTACCAGAATACAAACTTTTATACCCCATAAGCAGCTGTCGGTACAAAAATGATAATTGGAGGTGGCACTGGAACAGAACATCTGTTTTCCCATCACAGAAGCTTCACTTAAATTAATGTGTTATGCTTTCTATTGGGGACTTGGCTTCGGCGCATTTTTTTTTGTATATATACAGCAAACGATCTCAAACAAATTCAGTTTGCCTGTAGCAGCAGATAAATCAGCAACATGAAATATCTAGCCATCCTCAGCCTGGTCTCTATCATAACGCTGTCCTGTCAGGATGAAGCTCTGCAAAGTATCAGGAGATCCCCTTCAATCATAGACGTGGACCCAGTCGGCATTGAGTCCGCAAAACACACTTTCTTAGAAGGACTGGCCAAGACAATCGACGCTCCCGGGATCCGAATGCGGCGTGCCATTGAAGTGCCTCTCATAAGTTTCCAGGGAGCAGCCTACGATAAGTTGCTAAATGACAGCCTCAGCACCAGCACCACCACCACTAGCACCACCACCACCACCACCATGACCCCCCCAATCAACACAGCGGCGCCTAGCATAGTCCCAACCACCACAAAAGCAGCCAAAACTAAAAGAAAGCAATCCAAGAAAGCCCTTAAAAACACGGCAGCCTATCTTAAGAAGAAAGCAAAGGCTACGAAAAAGAAGAACTAATATCAGTTCGGAATGATGTGAATACGTTATCTTCTGAGATCTAAATATACTTATTAAAAATTGATGGACAATAGGTTAAACGGATCTAATATTTGAAATCTTCCTGGTGTCCCTTCCGTGTCTACAAAATATACTGAGTAGGAGCTCCGGTCGTCACAGTCTATCCGGAATTCGTAACAAAGAACAAGATGATTTCCAGAAAAACTTTTAAAGACGATAGAAACGACTATAGAAGTATCCAAATCAAATCGAATCCCACTGAACAGAGTGCTAAAAACTATTCAGAGAAGTCAACATCATCTTGGCCATTATAGGAACTGTCAGAGCCTCTATATGTGAGATCCAACAAAGCACAATTAATGCGTTTCTTAAATCATAACAGAAGAGTGTACCGTATTAGACAGAGCACACCAATGAGATTTAAGAGCTCTAGTTCTTGCACAGTCTTTTGCTGCTTGCGTTGAGCGGGAAAAGTTTGGACAACTTTTGGCAGCCATGTTGCAGTTGTTTTTCCCCCATTTTCCCGCGTCAGCTGTGTCAACATGAGCCAACAGTGAAAAGAACTTGAACTTGACGCCACCCAACGTCGGAAGTGCACCAAATGGGGGGAGGGGAAGGAACAGGAACCCAGTCAGTTGAAGGTGAAAATGGGGCAAATGGCAGAGCCAACAGATGTGCACAATTTTTGCATACCGGCGACTTCTGAATGGCGTTTTGATGGCCGCTTAGGCACACCAAAGAACGTGGGTCTCTCTCTCCCCCCCTCCCACTCTCTCTCTCTCTCTGTCTCAATGTCTGAACTTGACACCTGACAGTCTGTTGGTTTTTCCCAACAAACTTTCGATGGCCGCCGATGATGTCACGCCCCTCCTAATGGCAAACGTGTATCAAATATTTACAAAATAGTACTCTATTCTATCCTATATACATATACATGTATGTACGGTATATGTATTTGCATATGGTACTCCGACTGCGACTTTATATATACATATGTATATGTGGATATGCGAGTGTGCGATTTTTGTCTGCCGCGCAAAATATGAAATTCACTTTTAAATGCTAAATAATGCACATGCAATTCTGTTCGTGGCGCCAATTTCATGCGCTAAATGAATTTATGAACAGTTTGTGACATATTTTACTATATAAATAAATATATATGTATATACGTTGGAAATCAGCATTTTTGTTGCAATAGACTCAGTTTTTGTGCGATCATTTTTTCGTTTATTTAATCCAATTTTCTGTCAAGTTTTTTTCGACGACATTTTATTGAAACATCATATAAATATAAATTGAAATGAACTGAGACACAAATTGGTATTTTCATGAAAATTAATTAAAAATCCCATTTGGTCTGCTGTTAATCGTTCATTTTCAATGTCACTTGCACTAACAAAAAACACTTTTTACGGAAAATGTATAAAAAAGCTTAAAGCAAAAAAAAAAATAAAATCTGTAAAGAATCAGTTGTCAAATGAAAGGAAGTGGAATTAATTTCTTCACATATGTTTTCCAATGTACTTGCAGAAATACTACCTCAAAGAATTTGTTTAAGATCATTTATTTACTTGTTATTTGTTTTAAGTACATATCATATCGTATCATATCATATCATATCATATCATAACAGATAAAGAGATAAAGCATTATAATATTATTTATGGATATTTTTTGTCTAAAAAATGGCGTTCCCCATTCTAAATGTTGTCACTGTCACAGTCACAGTCACAAATAGAATTAGGGGCTGCAGTCCTCCCAGCGCCGCTCCACTTCCAGCACACGGTACACCCGACTCCATCATATTGGGCATGGCTGCGGTACTATTGGGGCCAGTGGTGGTGGTTCTCTGGTTGTTGGAGCCGAATAGGAATAGGCTTTCGGGGGGCAGCATGACTTTGGTGGTTCGAATATTGGTAGGCTTGGGCGTAGATGCTGCGATCGCCGTGGGGTATGTGAGTGCCTTGTATGAGCCAGTGCCGAAGCCCAAGGAGGAGAAGGATGCCTGAGCAGTCTGCGGAGTTACGAATGTTTGCTTAAAGAGTTGCTGACGAGTAGTGATGGGTGACTGTGGCTGCTGATCCCCTGTGGTCGGAGTATATCTTTTGTATCCAAATAAGTCAGTGGCGTTGTTCGATCCGAGCCGAGTGGAGTTCGTGCGAAAGTAATTTTTCACGTCGAATTTCTGTGTTCGATTCTCGTGGTGCAAGCTGCTGTGCATCCGCGTGGAGGAACTGGTCGTTGTACTGCTGACTGGATTACCGTGTTTGTCCGCCAGGGAGCGGTTACCGGCCAGTCCTGTATCTGGATTCTCGGATATCACCTGCAACATGTCTCCGGCAACCAGTGCTCCCAAAAGGGGAAAAGAAAGTACTAGAAATGCTACCAACTGCATCATGCGGCTGCTTGGATGGTACTGAGTGCTCTGGCCATTTCCGACTAGTCTTTTATACCTGCCAGCCCGTATCCATATCGCAGTCGAGACATCACCGGGCTTTAGTCACCAAACGATCAAAGAATCATCTCACTTAGTCACAACTTAAGAACAAAGCTTCGAAATTAAAACAATTTTATGGGCATGTTACACATTGGTGCAGTAGTTTTCCAGCAGATGGGCCTGACTAACAGCACAGCCGGGTTTCGAAAGTAAGCGGAGGTATACATATGTGTGTATAGAGAGCACATGCATATACATACAGATACATACATAGATACATACATATGTACATATGTAGAGCAAGCCATGCACATTTTTATGGCCTGAAGCACTTATCAATGCAACTGCCAATCTCCGGTGCAGCCAGGCGAGCAAGGCAGAGCAGGAATGGCAATGGAAGGGGCTGAGGATTGGAGATTGGGGATGGCGCTGGGGAAAATACCAGACACACATCGACAGCGCAGCGACCGCATTCTGGGCTCGGCATCTGCACTATAAAAACATTTCATGCTCCCTGCTGACACGAACAATTTTTTCAATTCATTAACTATTTTAGTCATAAATTATTGTGGCAGCGCAGCAACAGCAAACGCAAACAGCAGGACATGACTTTGCTTTCGCAATGATATAACAGTTGCATGAGTATTACGTACTCATGTTGAACTCAATTAAGTGGATATAGAGATACTATTCAGTTGATTGTAGGTACCTACATATATGTAGATGCTATACATATGTATGTACCTACCACTCGTATCTAGCCTTTGAGAGAATGTAATATGCATAGTCGCCAGCTTGGCCATTCAGATCCTTTTCTATTACCCTAAGCTTTTATTTCGCACAAATCTCTTCTAAGTCCCTCGATCTCTCATCGAACGATACACAATTTAATACCAACCAATTCATATTTTGGCACTGCCAGAAACTAATCCCTAGACACACACGCCCCGCATCCCCGCATCCCGGTAGCCCCGCAACCCCCATTGAATTGCTCAAATATTGAAAGCAAATACAACAAATAGCCTCAAAATCGTAGCAAGCTCCAACACATACTCGCATAAATGTGCAATAAAAAACCTACAGCACAAAAGCAAAAACAAGAAAACAATAATAAAGTAAAAGTAAAAAGAGAGGGGGAACACGAATTTGTGGAAAATATATTGCCACGTATATATTTTACATGGTGCTGTCGAAAAACATTTCCCGAAGCGTTAAAATTCATATAGGAAACATTCTTGCTCGAAAATGGAAAATATTTTGACACAGATTAAAAGCACCAACACAGGACGACATCGCCAGCAACCGAATACAATGTTGTTCATCTAAATTTAAATGAAACGCGGATGCATTCGTTAGAATAACCCTTTCCCATACCCATACCCATACCCGTACCCATACCTATACCCACTCCGATCCCAGGGACACGAACGAACCCGCCTTGGGGGCTGTGTGCCGAGAGCTACGAGTGGAAGCTGTGAGACCCTGTGTCGTACTGACCTAAATCAAACAAACGCTAATGCCCGATTTTCAGCGCCACAAAATTCTGTGGCTCCGGTTACGAGTTAGCCGGAGCGGAGCTTCAACAATTCATATTTGTTGCATAAAGATGGGTTCCATTCTGAATTGGAATCTGAATGCGAATGTGAATGTGAATGCGAACGGGAGTAGGAAAACCATGCAGCACTGAAACGCAAAACAAAAGCATATCGACAGAGACAAACCCGTGCAATGTAACCAGTGTCTGCCCCTTCCATCCTTACACCCTTTTTAGATGGGGGCTTGT